GAGACCGCAGCACGAAACTAGACAATAAAGGTAAGTGCACACCGTATTGATCTGAGGGAGCGGCTTCACCGCGCCCCAGACGCCACCCCACATAGCAACTAATTTAAACTTCATAGGTTTTGTTATTAATGTTTGACGCTTGAATGTTAAACGCTTTCAAATGAAAAATAAAACTACTTGTATAATATGCAAAAAGCTAACTTTATTTATCAAATTTTTGTGACCTGACCCGACCTGATACACTTCATGCTACGCGGTCTGATCCCAATTGGGACAGAGTCTGCACCTTGGTAACCAGGCTGGTGATAAACATTCTTATTTTGCGTGAGAACTCTTATCTTCCTCTGAGTGACAGGATAACTAAATGTGTGAACAAACAAAATGGTGGTTTTGATCTTTTTAGTACAAGTACTGGTAGTGCTCGATCATATCTAACTGACAGATTTATTTATAATGTTAGTGTTAGTTGGCTCTGCATGTAGGTATTTTCAATAATTTTAATGTTTAATTACTTACTTAGCATATAAATTAAGTAGAATGTTTTTTGTGTATCTGTGGAATCTTGTTATCGGCAGTTCATTAAATAAATTACTAATGTACTTGTACTGTAGCTGTAAGCGCCCCAAATAGACATAAATACTTAAATATATGTATATGTTTTAAATACATACATACTGTCCGTGTGGTGACGGATTAAGAATACGTAGTATCATTCATCCCATGGGTGTCGTAAGAGCCGACTGAGGGAGCAAACTATACAGGACAACTGCACAGCAAAGAGAAGGAAAACTTGAAACAAACCCTATACCAACCCGTCTGGCCCGCGTGGTATAGTAGGCCAAAACTATGTCCAGCAGTGGATTATTGTAGGCTGTTGATGATGATGGGATCACCCGGCCGAGTGTGGGATGTATATTATATTATTAATGATGCCCAATTGCATTCATCGTTTGTTTGAGCTTCTCAAGGTTGTGAGTTAGAAGTTTTTCTATAAGTTTTGTGCTATAGGCATTTGACATATGTGACATGTTTATAACCGTCGAGTACGGTCAAATTTCACATATTCCCTATAAATAAATAAAGGAAGTCGAACCCAAACCGTGACGGATGGCATCGAAGCGAATACTAAATAGAATCCAGCATGAAATCGAGTTTTTATACTATTAAAAGTTTTATTATCGGACGATTGTATTTATGCTTGTACATAATTTATTATGTATTAAAATGGATATTAACTTAGATTAGTTTCTTTTAAGTGCGATTTAGCTCTGAAATCTTTTATTGCATTTTTATGTTTCTCTATGCGAAAAAAATATGAAGATGCCAATCGTGCCTTTAAGATCTAGCCGTGCACAATTCGATCCCTTTTCACGCAATCAGTAAACAGATTTTAGGAAAGCAACAAGAAAGATATTCCACATTAAAAACCATGCAGGCATTCCCATTCTCCCTGTCGAATTTATAAATATACTAGCTGACCCACCCAACTTTGTCCGAGTCTCTCAACAGTCAATTTTGCCCGTTATTGCAACATTTTTCTTTGATGCTTGGCTCATATTGGTAGTATCCAGATTTTATATAGCCTTACCTTGATAAATGGGCTATTCAACACTAAAACAAGTTTTGGATTAGAACTAGTAGTTCCTGAGATTAACACGTTCAATTAGACAAACAAACAAAATCTTCAGTATTATCATTTTAGTATAAATATACAGGTATAAAATATATACGAAGTTACAGAGAAGGTATTCCTACGTCGCTGCTATTAAATTCACGATCAATCTATTTTAAACGACCCGTTAAACATTCAACAAGCGAACCGTGGCCATAACAATGACGTAACTTCCACCTGTTTTAGAGGTTCGTCCGGTGGGTTATGGCCGTCATAGCGGTCACACCATAACTGATTGACGCTTTTTTAATGACGCGACTGATACAATACTCTTATTCGTTTGTCAATATTTTTACCGGCTTGACAAAAATTAGGTTCTCGACTAGATTGTATTTTTTCTGCATCATTTATGAACCTATTTGGAAAATTCTTTCATCATTTGGGAAATTATACTTCCTACTTTCTAAATTTGAAGAAAAAATACCACCACCAAGGATGAAAAATTAAGGAACGAAGAATACAGTTTAGACAAGACAAGACTACACCTACTAAGTTAATTGTGGTAAGCATAAAAGGATCGTACATGCAAGGAAATCTGCAAACACTACTGTTGTATGAAAACAAGCTAATTACAGTGATTTTAAAATAATTTATTACACCATTAGCGTTGCAAAGATTAAAGTCTACGAACGCTTGATACCAAACAAAGTATGGACGCCTGCAATACGAGGTGTATAATTTTTTGGTGCGCTTTTTAATTAACACTTCAATCCGATACAAAACATAAGTCAAAACAGTTTTATTATTCTGTTGTTACGCACTACAACTTGTTACATTGCAGTAGATACTTCAAGCCTATGAAACATAGCAATAATATGTCGTATGTAGATCAGGACCGATTATTATGTTATACTGACCTTTAATTAGAGGCTTTCCAGATGTTTGATATCAATTCGAGCACAAATTTTGCTATCCTAAGACCTTTAGCTCGCTCCCAGTTAAAACGATCAAATCGATATCGATCTCACTATGTTATAACCCAGATTTCTATGTATTTCCGTTAGTGAATGGCGCAGTCAGGTATTTTAAGGAAATTGCTTTGACTATCTAAACACCATGCTTGTATATGACGAGCAATCTTGGAGACTGTTAGCATCGATTTAATATAACTACTTACATATTATATTAAATGGGGTTATTATTGGCAGGTAAGTTAATTTGAAACGGTCGGCAGTTCTCCTCTATTCCCATAACTAGGCCATTGACTAATGACTTTTTAATGTTTCGTATGCGTTTGTTTTTTGATTTTTAATAGCACTAAAACAAACGTCATCATTCATATATTTAACCCACATCGACCCACTGATGGGGATAGAGGTCTTCACTTAAGCGCCAATTCTTACGCTGTTGGCGTCGTGTACAATTTCTGGTTATGACAAGAATGGCTCAAATTTAGTCAGACCAGGGAACTTTTTTAGAATTAGAAGAAGTACATATCTACATCTTTCAAAAGTTGTAGAAGTATAATGGTCCGTGTAGTGACGGATTAAGAATACGGAATGTCACTACCCCAATTCATCCCGTGGGTGTCGTAAGAGCCGACTAAGGGCGCAATACGCAGGATACCAGCACTGCAGAGAGAAGGAAAACTTGACACAAACCCTATACCAACCCGTCTGGCCAGCGTGGTATAGTAGGCCAAAACCTCCTTTCTAAGGAGAGGCCTATGTCCAGCAGTGGACTTATTAAAGGCTCTTGATGTGATGTGATGTGTGAGAAGTATAAATCGAAGATGTAAGGGAATAATTATAAACTCACGCTTGCATCCCTCGAATGGGTAGGGTTCACAAGTACCGCAGGGCATACTTTTCTGTAGATTGGTGGCTTCAAGTTCAGTCAGAAAGAATCTTGAGAAGCGTTTCTTCAGTGATAAAGCGTCAATTACCCAAGTGATAGGGATGGAAGTATATATTGTCGCTTTAAACGAAGATTATAGGCTCATCAATGTGTACAGTTAACATAAATTCTTACAAAATGTCGCATAGTACGTTTAAGTACAAATACCAGACTCCATCGCGATTAATCCAGAGCGAAAGTCTACAAGCAGTGATGGTATTACATTTAAATATAAATGCAGTTTAACAGCATGGCCATGTTGCCACTACAACATTTAGGTCGTGCAATTTGTAGTGCAGGTACAATCTCTTGAGATGTCTAGCCGGTGGCTGCGTTCTAACAGGAAAATTGAATGCGGCTCAGCGTGAAATGTGAAGGGAACTTAACGTCACTGGAGATGGAAATTATAACTGCCGCGCCATGTTTATATTCAGATTTAAATGTTTAAAGAGCTTCAACATAGAAGATCAGACACAATATTGATGTTGCTGAGAAATATTGCAGTTTGATTGTCAAGGGTTTAATTTCTTTTATAATAGTAACTTGGCATATCTCTTTTGTATGAAAATACTTACATTATAAATGTGACAATGACTTGTTTGTTTGTTTGTTACGCTTCCACACCTAAACCACTAAACCGATTATTTAAAAAAAATCACCAATGGAAAGCTTTATTATCGACGAGTACCATTTTTAATAATCGGAATAAACACAAGTGACAGCTGTCCTGTCCAAAAATATCCTGTATTACAGTCAATGGGATTAAGGTGATTATAGATTTATAACAAGCTTTATAACGTCGAATTTGAAAAGCGCTTCCTTAAGCGGCAAAAGCAAAATTTTGTAACGTCCTTCTGAGATAAAAAATAGCCTAAGTAACTTTATAGACAGCTACCTGGTAGTAAAATATTATTAAGATTTGTCAAGACGTTTTGAAGATTACCCGAAACAAACAGACAGAGACAGACGACAAAACATTATTTACATTAGTTTTTAAGCATAGGTATCGTGCAAATAACCGTGTAAGCATGAAAAAACCTATTGTTTTGACATTACAAACGGGTCAATTTTATTTATTTTTATAGATGTCACGTGGCAGAGAACTAGGATGACATCTTGATACCATAGTCGCTGGCATTGGTATTTTTTCGAAAGGGTCCTGATAATCGGCACGAGACAATTCGGTGCAGGAATTTAAACACTCTTTTAATTTGCTGAAAGCAAATCTTCTTTTTAAAAGGCAACTCGCGATGGACTTTAGAAACATACATGAAACGGATACAAAGAACACCCAGACTCAGAACATCAATTTGTGGATCACACGAAGTGTCATCCTATGTGAGGATTTAACCGACAACACTCAGCGCAGAAGTAAGCGGCGAGGTTACCACTAAGCCACTACACCATCCGTTTTCAACAATTCCTTACACTAACAAGAGATCAAGAAGACAGATCTGGGAATATTGGTGTATGAATTTCTTGTATTACTCACCCTGCAGGATATGCGACAAGCTCGGTGTTGGGATCACAGTCTAGAGCCGCGTTACTACCCACAGTCAGCCCTAGCACACTCTCCAACTTTATCTGTGGACAAACAAAAGTTATCATTATTAAAAAATATCATAAGCAAACATTTTATCATCTTGAGACAAATATAAATAATAAAATAAGTAACTCTCTGAAGGACGTAGTACAATAGTTTTTAAAATGAATTACTCGGTAATTTTTTTGGTAAATTTTCTAAAAATTAAACCTAGCTCGATCGATTAATCGCCCTCGAAACCCCCTGCATACTAAATTTCATGAAAATCGTTGGAGCCGTTACCGAGCTTCAGATTATATATATATATTTATATATATAAGAATTGCTCGTTTAAAGGTATCAGATAATATGTTTTGATAACCAACACATACACACTCATACGTGAACTTCTCTCAAACTGTTATATATTTGTTTTTAATCTGATTTACAGATCAAAGTAATATCATTAAAAACATACATAGCTAAAACATATTGCCTGCACCACGAACATGACGTGGACTTGTTTACACAATAACTTTTAAGGATTTGAACACTTAATTTAGTCCGTTGCGTAAGGAGGTTGTATCTTTGGCGAATGACATTGAAATAATGTATGTATCCAACTAGTTAAGTTGTTATACGACGCGACTCAAGACGAAGGTTTATAGAGAATATTAATTACGAGTAAAGGGTTAATTGTAGTTAAAATACTACGTTGTGGAAGCATTATCGTAAACTTTGCAATTAAAAAGTATTAAAGAATCATTTTGATGTCACATCGAATGAGGGTACTCGATAAGAAAAAATATGAAGACGAGAACTAAAAACGAAAGATGGGGCCTTTACGGGATAAATATGTTAAATATATAATATATACCTACGCCATATCAACTCACTTCAATGTATCTAGCATGCATGATAGTGCGTGAAGTTAGCAGAGGGTATGATTATCAGGGGCTGATTGGGCGTTTTAATATTCCAACGAAAGGACTTATGTTATTACTGCTATTAAATTAAGTTTAAAAAATATAGCGATAAAGGGGAAATCTGCAACGAGTTAATTACGTATTGGATATCATGATATATTTGTGTGTGACATGATACATTTATGTGTTTTTATGGCACAGGGTCACTAACGAGCAGCCGGGTCACCTGATGGTAAGTGGCTACCGCCGCCCATTGACATCTGCAACGCAAGAGTCACAACTGCGTTGTCACTCTTTGAGCCCCCAAGAGGTAGAGGGAGGAGTGTTGGGCTCCGTTAAGTACCACTCCGGTCGAGCCCGCCCATTTAGGCCGAAGCATTCCTCTCAAACGATTACTGTTAGTGGCTGGTTTGAAGCGAATGATAAAACTAAAACCGACTCGACTTTAAATTATTTTGTACCAATTAAAGTGAAGTGGTAACAAAGCCCTAGTATTATAATATTTGCCTAGCCAAGGCTGTCCTAGTTGTGCAAATATCTCTGAAACCTTGGCTACATTAGATAAACCTCTGTTTGTTAAGATAGGCGAGGTGGAGGCGTAAGGCTATTCTAAATTTTCCTTGTAAGTATCGCTCTAGTTTATACACGAACAATTTCAATAAAAAATGTATAACATGAAATAGTTAAAATCTATCCAGTTTATTAGGATAATAGTTTCCTTAGCTGTGCGATTTCGATTTAAAGATATTTAATTTAAAACTTAACTTTCTCTTATTCGCTTTTTCATAAAATTTTAAGAATTATAATAATAATTCGGACATCTGACACACAACGTCTAGTTTCAAATTAAGCAGAGGTTATTAAAAAGTATCGAGCAGACAGTTCATTAGATGGTAAGTGACTACCGTTAATGGACCTGACACCTGCGTCGTCAAGAGTCACAACTGCGTTGACGCCCTTCCACCCCCCCCCCCCCCCCCACTGTTTAACACCGGCTTCCTGTGAGGGGGTGGTATCACTGCGGTCGAACTTGGCCCATAGTGCTGAAGCATGACTCTCCTACAATAAAATAATGACGTATTTACTTCTTTGACGGGCATGTTGGTCTGGTGGTTAGTGAACCTGACTGCTAAGCCGGAGGTCGTGGGTTCGATTCCCATCCAGGACAAATATCGCCTGATGAGCACGGTAAATGTAATTTATCTATAATATGTATGAAAAGCACAGGCTCTGTCTAATTTGGGATCAGACAGCCGTGTGTGAGATGTGTGAGGTGAGGTATATTATTCTAAATATAGATTCGGATACCACTTGGAAGTCATAGACCATACGACCGGTTTGTCGGAAATGTTTCACCGTAGTAGATACTCGTATTTTTTATCGATACGCGGTTTTACTCACGTGTGTATTTCGGGTATCCCCGACAAGTTCCGGCACCGCTTTGCTTAACCTTTGACTTTTAGGCTTCACACTACCACATCTTTAATAAATATGAATACCACTCACGAAAGTTTTTATAATAGACAAATTCAATAATATATACCTCACACATCTCACACACAGCCTTCTGGTCTCAAACAAGGCAAAGCCAGTACTATGGTGACCAGACTGCTGATAAATATACTTATACATTTTTAAAACATAGATCTAATATATAAAATTCTCGTGTCACAATGTTAGTTACAATACTCTTCCGAAACGGCTGGACCGATTTTTATGAAATTTTGTGTGCACATCGGGTAGGTCTGAGAATCGGCCAACATTTATTTTTCATTCAAAACAACGTTTGCCGGGTCAGCTAGTATTATAGATAAAAAACACCCAGACACAGAGCGAATGATAGCGTCATTACACAATAATGTGTCCTGGGTGAAAATCGCACCTCGCCTGTAGACCCAACAGGCTCGTCATTATTTTAAAAGTCGATTTAAAAGAGCTTTATTACATTACTGGTATGGGAAATCCATTGCCGGGATAGCATAACTGAACTTGAGCGTTTGCGTAATTATACAAGTGCCATACACAGAGTTATCAACCTTTCTGGTTATAAAGTAAATCTGTAACCTGCGAGTGGCGGGAGGCATGATGCTGAAAACTAATCTCGGCTGTAATCACGAACAAAAGCTCAAACACATCAGACTTCTATACCATTTAGAAAATTGGTTTAATTTAATTTGCTTAGTTATGATTTGAAAGCCCGCGTAACTCCGCGGTGGCTTAAAATGAAATGAAACCAAAATATGTTTCCGTAAATTCTTTGACTAAAATATCTTAATGTACAGCCTGTAGAATACAAGTAGGTAAGCAAATTCTCTCAACACTAAACCGAAACACCGTTTATGTAAATAGAACAGTAAGATTTAATATTACTTTCGGCATGCTGATTAAATTTTTAATAGGTATAGGCCGATGACCCACTTGCCTCAAATGGTTTATTCCGCTGCTGATGTCGTCAAATTTTATTGACGTAATGTTACTTGATTAACAATGAAGTATTTTAGGGTTGTTCACTAAACTTTAAGTTCACTTCTTCATAAGCTAGATTTCATTGTTTACGTTTTACTATATAAGTATATTGTAAATGTAGATTTTCTCTCTAACAGTATAAAAAATCTTTCATAGCTAGAAAAAATCTAATTACATTATTAAACCTCACTGAATCCTAAACCACACCTTTGAATAATAAAAACAATATAAGAAAAATATGCGTGTACAAATTCCGCGCGCTCTCAAGGTCGTCTGACACTCGATCCAAAATGGCGAACCTGGCGTCCTTGTTGCATATGCGCAAGGATGGACCGCTTTATGATTCAAGGGTAACCAGTTTTTGATAAACAATAGCCATGTTGGGATTAAGTTGCAATTCTGCCTACATATGTCTATAAGTGTATAATACAGAGTGTCACCACCCCTATTCATCCCGTGGGTGTCGTAAGAGCCGACTAAGGGAGCAAACTACGTAGAACAACAGCACTGCAGAGAGAAGGAAAACTTGAAACAAACCGTATACCAATCCGTCTGGCCAGCGTGGTATTGTAGGCCAAAACATCCTTTCTAAGGAGAGGCCTATGTCCAGCAGTGGACTAGTAAAGGCTGTTGATGTGATGTCTACAAGGTATTGAAATTTTGATTATTACAGCTAATTAGGGCTAAATAGCACACATCATTGTCTTTGCCAGCCGTTACAACTACCACCTAAAATCATTGCGTTAAGTTTTAAGCTGTTCTAAATAGATTAACGGAAATTCCGTGGGAATTTTAGTAATATAACTTACAAAATGTTACATGTTCATCTTTATATCTCAGAATACTTTAAACAACCCACTCTTATTATCTATGAATCAGTTTGATATTTCGGCGAAAGCCACACGGACACTTTAAATTATATTGAAATGAAAGTTCTCCAAAAGTAATTACTCAGTTAAATTGTTAATAATACTTTTTTTCATTGTTAAATTAATTTGAAGTTAATATTGGCATTTAATATTGATAGAAGTTTTAATTGGTGTTTATTTTATAGCTTCAAGTGGTGAAAGAAGCGTTCAATTATAGTTTGGAGAATAAAACTATATAACGGCATAAAGGATCAAATATATAACGGAATGGAACTGAAGAAGTTTGTAGAAAAATACTATTCAAATCCCAAACCCTTCAGATGATTATTAGACATCCATGGGAGACATTCGGGAGCCTAACTAAGCGTTACTATGTAATGTACTTTGTTGTGTACGATTTTAATTGTAAGGTATAATAAGAACATAGAATTAAATAGATACGAAAATCATTAAATTTAACTTATTGGGTTTATATTTATATTTACAGACATACATGACACGGACACAAAGAAGACCCAGACTCAGAACAACACTTGTTGTCAAATGCTGGGATCGAACCCACAACATTCAGCGCAGTAGAAAGCGGCCGCGACCGCTTAAACCACTACGTCACACGTGTAGCCATGCCTGAATAGTCGTACTATGGTTTCCCAAAGTATTATTTTAACTTATTTTGGTATCCGCTTTAAAATGACTTTAAAAAAGACGAGTTTTCCATTCCACCGTGTTGATTGTAACAAAACTCCAAGCCTCCATTAACAGCTAAGTGTTATAACAATAGACCATTGAGTGTTGAGACTC